CACCTGATTTTTGGTTTAATTACTGTATAGGTTTGCTTTTCAACGTAATCGTATTTTATATATCAACTGTATATTGATCCTTTAAATTTTCTGTTCTGTACTTTTGAGTCTCCTGGGCTCACTATAATTACGCAAGACATTCCAATATATGGTTTATCAGCTAGAAGCTAAGGTCCTGTGTATATTAGTATTTATTAAAATACGATACAAATTCACTTGACTCCCTACTTTATTAACGTTTCTCATTTCATGTCTTTGATCTCAACTTATAGAATAAGTCCGGCGCGCTGGAATTTTTGATGAAGGCGCATCTGAAAGCGAACTGCAGACCGGATAGTGACGACGAATCTTGCGCTTCTGCCACAAAGTGTTTGAGTTGAGTCTTATTGAATGCGATATTAGCAATAATGGGCTCTCGGATTCAATAATGCATGCGCGTAGCCTGAGGCTACGTCTTCCGCGGTGGGAATCGCAGCAACAATGGATCAAGCCGTGCGCCATGCTGTTCCGTACTACTCACCCCTGCCTACCGTAGTTTGTGTGCAAAGTAGGTTGGCTGGCTATAGGGTTTGACTGGTTCCTTACTATTCATAACAAGCACAGCGCTTCCTAGGAAATGCATGTGGCTATGACCGTCTTCAAAAGTGGTACTCGTCACTGCTGTGGTGATGTGCAAATTGAAGAGTTAAAAATGCAGTGAAGCGTAGTTGTATGTAATTCAGAAGGAAACGAGCTGAACGCTCTGCAGTGAAAGCAGGTGAAGTAGTTGGATTGAAGAAGCAGTTCCCGGATGGTTAATGGAGACGACGACGACGATGGCCGCTGGCGGTGCCGCTGTCCGGTTCACTTTCGATCAAAACGGGTCATTGCGCAACAATTCGCTTTCATCCCCAAAAAGCAGAAACAGGATTAGCAAGTGTTTTGGGCACAAAGGCGCGTGTTTCCGACCGCCACCCACTTTCACTTGACCGCCCGACTTGCCTTCGCTAGCACTGTGAGCCATCTACATCCTCTGGCATCGTTCTCTCCTTCATTTCACCGGAACATTCTTCTGCCCTGCCAATCGTTTTGCCACTGCATCC